TGTAATCATGTTTTGCTGTGGTGCCCTACGGTACACAAGCTCTTGGACTATGATTTATGGGTTATTAGGAATGAGTTGGGTGATGGCAGGTTCGGTGAGGGAAGAGCTGTGGGCATGGAAGAGCATCAGGAGTAGGTGCAAGTTCGCTTATATGATTCCACTTATCATTCTATAGATTGTGTGGAAAGAAATAAAAAAGAAGACTTTTGATGGGGTGGATGATGTAAATGGTTCTGATGTCCTCAAGAATAGATGATCTTCTACAAGGTTGATCAATCTCAGCATAGCAACTTACTAGCTGTAAAGGTTCATGTTGCATACATTAATTAGCTCCTTTAAAATATCTGCATTCTTCTTTTCAATGATTTTGTGTTTAGTGGAATTTGTTTCGAGCATTTTGGTACTGGAAGAAAGTATGAAGATTACTAATTCAAAATGGAAGTAACCTTTATATTTTATACATTGCATCAACAGAAGCCAATATATCATCATCTCAAATCTGCATTTTTTTAGCATGGTGGTGAAAAGAAATAGCAAGAGAGTTTACCCGGAGAATATTCATTGTATTGAATAAAGATTACAAGACATGGCTACTAAATATCCTTGGCATCCTTCTAGTGACATCAAATCAAACTTCTCAATCTTTGCTTGCTGACTGATTATCTTTTCCATTTTCAGGACGCTGATTCGAACAAACTACCTTTCTGGGTTCAAAAGAGATTTGACAAATTAAGAGACTTCATTTAAATAGTGTCTGATAACATGAGTTTCAGTTAATGGTTCAGTACATAAAGGATTGCACCAGTGGACTTTTAATATTTGTACCTTGTTAATGAGATGAGAGGTTGATTGATGATTGTGTTACCATGTAACTGTAAACTGGAAAAGTAGTACACCAAACCTTTTTTACATCGGGCAGTTTTGTGATTCTAAATTGATGCTTTCTTTAGAAAGAAAAAGAGGAGGTAGGAAGGATGAACCAAAAGATATGCCATTTATTTATTTTTTTAAAAAAAGAATAGAAGGAAATGCTATGTTCAGCGTTCACCTGTTTGCATTTCACTGTCTAAAAGTTCGAAAACTACTTGGCCATGGAAGGAGACAACGTTCCACCTTGAATTTCGTTCTCTAGAAGTAAGAAAACAACTTCAGCAGGGACATCATTCTGGTGACTGTATGTTGTTAGCAATGTTGTAGACCCACTCAAAATGCTGTATGACATGACAAAATCTTAATTTTATGCAGGAATTGACTTCAACTCCATAGCCAACCAAGGTACTTGAAGCCTCTGGTTTTTGATCTCTACATCATTTTTGTTCTATGGTTAAGGTTTCATGTGTTCTTTTAACAAGTCTTGGATGATTATATTAGCCTTTTGTCAATTGTTATAAAGAAGTCTAGCCTTGATAACTATTCCTTTTCTACATTTAGAACTGTTGTCTCATCTCTTAAAAGATGGCAGTAAATACTCAAGTTATTGTAATAAACACATGGATACATGACCGAGAATTAATTCTAATAAACTAATAAAGGCAATACATGAGTAAGAATTAATTCTATAAATTTATAAAGACCTATCTCCATGCAGGCAATATCTTTAAACTTGGAGTTTATGGTACTCACTTCTAAGTCAACCCAGATTTCTTTCTAGTCTGCACAGGAAATTAGAATTGTAACACGGGGTTAGGCCTTAGCCTATCGACAACATAAAACTATATCTGGTAAATATAACAGTATGATATGTCTCACCAGCATTTCATGATCCCCCATGATCTCTTCTATCAGTTCCTGGACTGGTTTATTAGCACTGTTGGGAACAAGAGCAGCAAATACAGCTGGTTTTAGCCCTGCATATATCCAAAGGAACAATCGCACATTTCATCAAGATAACTGAATATCACTATTTTGGGTTTTGCAAAATTTTTTTGCTTGCTATGAATCAGTTAATAAAAAAAGAAAGAAAATCAACTTTCAGAATCTTCTAAATCCTTTTTATATTTCTGATCAGGATCTAAACTAAAGTCAAAATATAAACTTGAAACGAGGGTCCTTGAGAAAATGCTTTGTATACCAGCTTCCGGGAAGGCATCAATGAACATCATCATTTCCTCTCCACTAAGGCCAGATAAGAAGCAGATCCTGGGTACTGACTTAGCAATCTGAGCACACCATAGAGTAAGCACATTTTAGACAATATACAAGCTGGAGTTTTCAAGAGTTAGAGTGATAAAGCCCTTTGGTAGTTTATAAACAATATCAATAACTATGCATGAAAATTCTGAATTTTAAGAGGGTGGCATCTCATACTTCAAGGGACTAGAGAATAAAAGCTATGAACTGGGAGTGAAAGTAAACTTTATAAATCATCAAATGTTTACTAAAATTGAAATCACAGTACTCAACCAAATAAATATTAAGAGAGTACCGCAATTATAAAATGCATACTTTTATTATGATGAAGCCTGTGAACACACTGTTTGATATATGAAAAGAGAAGAAGCCAATTGCAGGTTTGATAGTTTAACCTTCAGTGATCCCAAATTAGGTTGCCTTGTATTCACTGCTTCCCATAAGGAACGAGGAATCATGTCTTCAGTACAATAAATAACCTATAGAGTAACAAATTCCAAGATTAAAATTCATAATGCAGCAAAATTTTACATAAATAAGATGCATATTTCACTTGCAAACATGGGTTTACAATCTTAGAAGAGCCATGGTGATGCAAAAACAAGAGCAATAATCATGTTTCTTACCCTTAAAATCTAATTTGAGGAACAGGAAGAAAATGGCAAAATTACCCAGCAAGACTTAGGACAAAAGAGATTTCATAACACATTAGAAAGGAATTATAAAGATCCTCCAAATATGAAAATATATCTGGATCCTGCAATTAGCTGAAATCATAATTCAACACTTTTTCCTCCATAGAAGAATCTCTGTTAGTCAGGAGCAGATACAAAAGGAAAAACTACTTCCAATCTATTGACAAATTCACTGTAATTCTTTTACTAGGGAAGAATCATTGACGTAAAACATAATACCAAAGCAGGACCTTATCAGAAAAGTTTGGGAAGATAATCACATGTGCAAGTTCCAGTTTTTAGGTGGACTTCATTTAACCCATTGGATTCTTTTATAAATCTGAGAGTAAGATGTGAGAGATTACCTCCATGAATTCCCCATCCAATTCTTTCAAAAGCTGCTGTATCTGCAATATGAAGATGTAGACAGTTGCAGGATGTGAGAGAAATGACATGTCTTGAACTAAGTTCAGCAAAGAAGCAGATGCAAAATGATCCTTACAAATGTAGTTGCTACTTGAATTTAGGCACACTATCTTAAGTTTTTAATCATAGTTCTCCAAAAATAGTTATCCAGGAAATATACTAGCATCCTCACTTTATGCCCCTCCAAAACTGAAGGAGAAAAGGAAAGTTAGAAGAGAGCATATACTCATCATCCGAACCCTTTTCCCTCAGCCATCTTTTATAAAGATTAAATTGTCTGAGCTAGTTAAGAATTACCTCCGCTGCTTCCTCCAACTCAAATCCCAACAATAGTAAAGCCTGCAAAATCCAACATTAGATCCAGAATTTAATCTCTCTACCTCATTGACATCTCAAGTTTTCTTTCAGATGTATTTTGGTTCAGGTCCAAGGAGCCATAAAATCATCAGATTTTCAAACACTAGAACCATTTTGGACGCAGAAATTCCTATGATAAAACTCTGCCTTTTCTTAGAAATGATAATACAAGTATGCAGTTACTCAGTGACAGTAAACAGGCTGTTACAAAAATGCATTTTCTCATGTAAAATCTGTAACAGTAGGAAGGTAACTAACCAAAACTTACAGGTGGACCGTATCTAGGATCTTCAGCATTAAGGGGAACAAATTTTGAATCTTCAATTAACTCATCTGGTCCTGTACACAATCATAAGTACATGTGTGTGTGTATATATAGAAAATCATAAGAAAGCAAAATGAAAGTAGGAATTGGTCTAAACCGTTGTCCCCAACACCCACAACTGGAAAGAAGCAATCAACCTAAATTTTACCATTTTTTCCTTGTCAAAGATTGCTATATTTTCCATTAGTTTCAATCTCGTTGAATCTTTTTCTTTTTTCTAAAACAAAAGGAAGAAACTTTTGCGTTCCAATTGGTACAAACAAGTTTAAGTAGCTAAGCATCATCTATCACAAATATAATTGCTAATACCCACACAAACCCAGTTGCCAACATTATTCTACAAACAAATCGAAGGCCTCAAAAAGCAATAAAAGGTACAAAACCATGCAGACCTTCAAGTGAAGCTCTCACAGGGCGCTTGAGCTTCATGAGTTGGTAATTATTTTTAATTGACAAAGAGGGTATGACCATTGAAATATGTGAAACTGGGAAATAGCTTGCTGGGGCTGGAGGAGAGAGACGTCCATGAGAATGTAGATAATGAATGGCAGTGAAGCCAAGAGAAGAAGCCATGAGATTGCTGTATACTCTTTCTTATCGTTCACTGGTTCATCTTCCTCCGTTCTTGGGTACGAAGGAATTATCTGCAAGTTTCAAAGCAAATTAATACAAAAGAAGCCCAAACTGTTCAGCCCACAATATATCCCAACCCAATGGAATTAATTTCGAAAATTAAGCCCAAAAAAACTCTTCTTTTTCTCTCTTTTCTTTTAAAAAAACAAAATTTCTTCCTCCTTTTGATGCACATGGATGTCTCTCTTTCTATCTGATTTCCCTACCTGCAAAAACTAGTCTTTCGCCGGAAGTCCCAGAAAGCATTACGACCCACTGCTTGGATCTCATTCTCACTGAGAGGCCGTAAGTTCTCTTTCTCAACTCTCTAATTTCTGCGCATTTTCCACTATACCGTTCGTGATTTATAGATTTGCTATTTTTCTTAATATAATGATTTCGTTGATTTCTTAATCATATGAGAACATCCTCCGCTTATTTATCTTTGTTTGTATTTGAGGTTCATATTTACTGTTTTTTTTTTTTTGAAATAAAATCGTTTGTACTGTTATAGGCATGCGTGCTTGTTTGATGTTCATATTTGCTGCTATTCAATCAAAATTATTGAGAGAAATAATTTATAATGAAGTAGTTTAATCATAAATTATTAGAGCTGGTATTTACTATCGTCCTAAATTATATCCTTAGGATTCACTCTTATGGGGTAAAATGTTGAGAAATTTGTTTCTTAATGGAGAAAATCAAAGACTTTCCCCACTACATAAACAAGGTAGAAGGCACAAACAGAGAGTAGAAACAAACCAAGTTGGGTTTTGAAATTTATGTTTGATTATGAAACTTTCATTTAATCTAATATGATAAAAGATATTAGAAGTAAACATATGTTTGAAACTCCAAGCCCAAAACTTCAAGAAATAGTTTTTACCTGATTGTTAAAAGAATTGAAAAGCTGGTAGATGCTTGAAAAGTTGACTCCCCTTTTCATTAATGACAATCCTAATAAATTAAGATGCTGGGAATATGTGAAATCTTGGACCATTCTTCTGCTTACTTCTTTAGGTATCATTCTTCTAGAATTGAACACTGGTGAACACTGGTCGGTATGCAATCACTTTCAAGGGAATCCCTGAAGATCTTGCACTGCCTTTAGCTTAGAGAAAATGAGAAGTTGTAAGCTACAAAGGGTTGGCATTATTATTGTTTTGCTGCTTACTATTGTGATTCTATAATCCCACTCTTTCAACCATCCATTTGATAAAACTTGAGTGTTGTGAGCTTGGCAAGGCAATAATCTGGGATTTGGGTATATAATCTGTTTCTATTCCCAGAGACTCAGCATCTAGTTTTTTCAATTTGGAAAAACTGTACTGTGAGTGACTAAAGAGACTGGCAGTTTTCCTAGTGGAGGCAACTTCTCCAAGTTGTTGAATTTATCAAATCTAACAACTTCCAACAATGTCACTGTCGTAATCCAAGTAGGAAACATGGTGACACCTCTATACACTACAATGAACATACACGTAACTACGTCTATGTTTTCATAACATAGTTAAATCTGTAGTTAGATTGGGTGTGGAAAAAAAAATAACTGTACATCTACAGGTGTCACTAATTTAAATGTCATCAATGTAGTTAGTAGTAGTGAGTGAGACTTAAGCTCATAAGGTTTATAAGTTCTTGAAAAATTAGAAAGGAATTTGTGTTTGCAAATGTGTATTTTTGGTCGATTTATAAGCTCTACATAAATGAGCTCATATTTTAGTCAAACCAGCTTAAATAAATTTTTAAGCTGATTTGACCAAATAAGAAGTCGAATCAAACATCCTCATAGATCAAACGTGTATATATGATTTCAGAGAAGTGCTTTTGTTGGTTTTGACTTATCAAACATGGATTATTCTATTTTGAATAAGTTTATACCTCTGGAATAGGTTTATGCTTGAGGGATATGTGATTTAAACCTTTTGCTGCTTGTTTTTGGTTGAGTGTCCAGGGCAGATATTTTTACTCATATATCTAGAGGGTAATCAGGCCCAAAGTCTACCAGTTTTCAATTAATTAGCTAGATTCGAGGAAATGAGCAAAGGTCTTATATGGGCAACAACAGCGGATTTGATGGCAAACAGAGGACGAGTTCTTTCCCTTTATCGCCAAATTTTGCGAAGCCTCAACTCTCCAAAGTTGCCGCTTAATTTGGCAGCAAGACTTGCTAAGAAAGCTGAAGTTCGTGTCATTTTCATGGCGGGTTCTGAGGAAAGATCCATCCACAACATCAAGGACTTTATCGATATTGCTGAGCACTCACTCTTACTTTTGAAGAAAGGTGAAATCCCAAAAAACACCACACAATATTAATCTCGTTGGAGTTATGTTAGAGGAAAAGTCTCTTTGTAAATTCAATTTTAGTTCAATGAGTAAACATTGTAAAATAGATATAAAAACTTATTTCTACTTGTAAAATGAGGAGGTGAGGATGATATCAATATTCATTGGATTTGTTGCTTATTTTATAAGCTTTTCCAGGCTTGTCAAAAGATGAAACTATGTTAATCAGCAAGAGTATGCTTGGGGTGGATTGAAGAAATTTCTTGTAAGTGTTTTAAGTTACCTAAAACTGATATGTAAAATTTTTATTTGAAAAGTAAATATTTCTGTGCTTGATAAAATATTAGTTATAAAAAATAAATAACTTTTTTAGTAAAAATTAATAATATATACACTGTTTTTATGTACATAATTAGTTTTAGAGGATGTCAAGAGGGTAATTATATAAATTGATTTACTAAATGTTGAAAAGCACCAAGCTACAGTGTTCTCCAGTTTCACATGAGACCTTTAAGCAAATATTTACATGTTCAACTGAAAAACATGTGATATTCTGACTTAAGGGTAATAAAGACGATTACATCTCAGCAACCAATTTTTCTGGTTCTCCTGCAGTTTCAGACAGGCTGCCCTTCATCCACCTTGTCACCATCTCTAAGGCAGCTTTAGGTTGATCCATTGGAACCATGTGACCCGCATCGTGGACCTGTCAGGCGTTATATATCATGATAGCATCAGTACTAACAGTAAACTGTTTTCTATTTTATGAAACAACAACGATAAAAATGTGCGTCGTGTACAGAAATGTGTTTGCGTGCACATAAGAGAAGGATAAAGACCTTGAGGAAACCGAGAGGGCCATAGGTTTTCAATAGCCCGGCTTCTGAACCATCAACTTCAAATAGCACTTCTGGAGATGCTACAAATTGCTTCTGACCAGACCACTCCATCACATGAACCCATCTCGAATTACCTGCACAGGTATGATTATAAACATTCTCTTGACAATCACATGAAACTAATGGCATCTTATTTACTCAGGCGATTTCAAATCAAGCTTGGGACCTTACCAAGCCAATTGCAGATTAGATCATATTCACCGGCATACACAAGCAACTTGATTCCATCCTCAAGGAGAGCAGGAATGCCAACTTCAAGATTCCTCATCCAGTCCACCAGCATGGCCTGATAAACTGTCGGACTACAGGAGACGAACTCAATATCCCCAACAGCTAGCGCATCCCTAACAGATTTTAGGTTCAGAAACTTCTCCATGTTTGAGAAATCATAGCAAAGGTTCCCTTCACATTTCTTTCTGATATCATAATACTGCAGATAGAACATAGGTTAGATTCACCTTCTCATCTTTCTTTAACACTTTTAATGTCTTAACATCAAACATGTCAATAATGCAAAGTGGTTTTCCCAGTATGTTCTAACCAGAAAAAGGTAATTTAAGATGATTAATATCTTTTCTGAACAAAAAATGATGAGTTTGCAGAACATCATTCTTTTGACGTTTTCCTATTACTTCTCTCATCTCCTTTCTTACCACACTGTCCCTTCAGAGAAGCAAGACCGGGCGTCAAAAGCTATCATCATACCCTACATTTTTCGATCATTGACAGGTATTGTTCTACGTGGAAACTGATTTTTTCAGGCTTTCAATACAAAAGAAAAGTTATTTCTGGCAGAAAATATATTCTTACAGGCACTAACACTAGACATCAGCAAATCAAATCAGTCTCACGGTTAATGCATGATCAAAAAACAAAATTCACAGTTATGAATTACAATAAAGAATCAAGGTTTATAAAGTCTCCCAGTTATCTTACATTGATACCGCCAGCATGTGCCAGGATGCTATTGAATATGGTATTGCAAACAAAATATGAAGATATACAAGAAATTGTACCATCAGTGCCTGTAACGGAACAAAATATTGTAAGCATCAATGCTAAAGTCAAATATTTATAAGAGCAGGAATAGTTCTAGATATAACATTACCGCAAAGCTTTATTGCCATTTCACACACTGGAATCACCTTGTTGATACGATTGTATTCAGATTTTGTAATCAATCCCATTTCCAATGCATAGTCAGTATATGCTTGGTATTGAATTGCAGGATCAGTAAGACCATTTCCAATGGCAAATCCCTGTTTCAAACACATTGAGATAAGATACAGAGAAGCCATATTGAAATACTATGAATCATCAGTAGGAAAGATTAGTTATGCACCTTTAGATTTATATGAATTCCCTCCTTAGCTTTGTTTCCTTGGTGGACTCGAGCAGCAAGAGCAGGAATGTAATGTCCAGCATAAGATTCTCCAGTAATGTAGAAGTCATTCTTAGTAAACTGAGGATGCTCTGCAAAGAATACCTGGTATCATGAAAAGACCGAACTTAATCATATACACGTAGTAAAAAAAATTTTATCCAGACGAAATGGATGCATTTTGATCGAAATGAACTTCCAGAACAATTGCTTCAGTAAATCTTTAACAATTCCATCTCCTTAGGAAAGGAAAAACAACTCAAAATTTTTATTTGTGTCATCACCAGTTAATAATCCTCTGCCATGCTAGAAGAATATTATACAATACAAACCTGTAAGAAGTCATATAGGTCATTGCTAACTCCATCTTCATTGTGACGAATATCACGACGATCTGTGGTATAACTAAAACCAGTTCCAACAGGTTGGTCAACATACAAAAGGTTTGATGCCTGCAAATCAGTGTAGTGTGCTGTTATGTACACTGTAGAGAATCAGAAAGGTAGAAAGACAAACTTCAACAAAAGGCGGAAATAGAGATGAAGAAACAGCATGAGACATAAAAGTTTCACCAGGACTTTGGGTGAAGCAGAGAAGAAGGATTCCTGAAGCTACGGGTTAATACAGGATATCCATTAAAGATGAATAATAGTTAACTAAGAAATATGCTTCAACATACACATTGACTGGAAAAAGAAGAAAATTTGAACCAGAGGAACAAGTGGTATAAGAGAAGCAAAATAACAAATCCAGTCTACAAAGGAAAAACCAGTATCCTCGGAAGATGTATTCAGTATCTCTATCAAATCCGCCAACATGGAGGGAAAAAAATGAAAATGTCTACAAGCCAATGTTATTTACCTAAAAGACCCGATAAGCTCAAAATAATGTTGTTTAGTGCCTCTTTTTTTTTTTGTTTTTTTCTTATTTTGCATAGTAGCTGAGAATTATGATATAGAATAGGGCCTTGTATATTAAGATCCAATCTCACCACAATGAATTAAAGAACATTAAAGAATATACCTTGTCCCATCCATACTCATTCCACAGAAGAGACATGTTGCTTGCAATACTGAAAGGACCATTTTCATAAAACATAGCCAACTCACTACTACATCCTGGCCCTCCAGTCAACCAGATTACAACAGGATCCTCCTTGTTGTGGCGTGATTCAAAGAAGAAGTAAAATATCCTAGAAATAATCACAGAAAGAGATCAGCAAAACAAGAGAAAAGGATCGTGGAAAGCAACATGACATTCCAAAAGTCAACCAAACTTAGCTGAGCCTTAACACGAGAAAATGAATTAATTAGGCCATTAACATGTTAAGAACGAAAATTTGCTGCTCCAAACCATGAAATTCTTGATAGGAACTGATCAGTTTGGTCAACAAATAAATATCAACTGACCTTTACAATTTTTTTCCTATTTCAATTCACATAAAACAAGACAAATATGCCCAAAAACCTTAAAACAAAAATAAACAGTTGAAGGCTTCAAATATTTCTCGGAAACGAAACTTCCAACATTGACAAGGAAAATTTCTTCAATCACGTAAAGGAAAGTACTTTTGTTTCTTTTCCTTTTTCTTTTTCTGCTTTGGAGAAAGAAAGGAAACAAATAGCTATTGCTAAACATTACCATATCTAACATCAAACACTAGAACCCACCACGAAATAAAAATGCATGCGCACACATCAATTCTATGTACGAACAGATAAGAATGCAGACATTTGGGAGTCTAATTCTAGGGTTTATAAAATGGACCTTGCATCATGAGATTTGGGGAGCTTGTAATAACCGGCGTGGTGGCCCAAATCATCGACGGTGACACCTCCGTTGCCTATCAAATTAGGAAACCTGAACCTTTTCTCAACAATCCTCGGTCCCTCCTCCGCCGGCGCATCACGAGCGTCGATGACGTTGACGTCCTTGGGGAAGAGGTTGAGGTCCCTGATGAGCTTATCGGCATGCACAGAGGGGAAGCTCGACCTCCCAAAACGACTGTCGTTTAGGATAAAAGCAGAAGAAGAGAATGGTGAGAGAAGGAAAAGGAAAAGGCAAAGGAAGAGAAGGGAAAGTAGTTTCATTCCTTCCATTTTTCCTCTGTTCCGCTTTCTTCTCCGGTGTGAGTGAGGAACTAATAGACAAGAGAATATATAGCAGAGATATTACACGTGGCGGTCTTTTATTTTGACACGTCATTAGTCCGTATCCTATTTATTTATCTATTATTCTTTTTTTTTTTTAAGTGGCAAAAGGTGACGAAATGCTGTCAGGCAGTTGGTTTGGTTACGTGTAAAGCGGTGTACAGTTAGGAAAGAGTACACGCCACACGATCAAGGGAATGTAACTGTTGGGACCCACCAGATGTGGGGAATACTGATTTCTTAGGTCATCTGGACGGTGAAAGATGTATCATCCTACGGGGCGTAGGATCACCTTCGAGCGGTCTCATTGAATAATCATGGACTCGAGTTCCAGATAATTCTAATTTTTTGGTCATTTAAATTGGGACTTTATAATCTTATTATAATTATAATTTAATTAATTATGCCACAAAGACCAAAGCTCTAATATACATATTTTAAAAATAATTTAATTTTTATTAAAAATTTATATTTAAAATTTAAATATCAATTTAACCAAACACACTATTTCTATTATTTAAGTTAAATATTAAATAATTTTTCACTAAGAGTATTTAATAAATAATTATTTAAATTCACAATTACTAATTTTTTTTTTCTTAAATTTATGGTTTGTTAGGTTCAAGGTGTATAGAAGTGGTTTATACATCACAAAGATTCAAAATTTTGGAAAGTGTATAGAAGTGGTTTATCATAATTTGGTACTCAACTTAATACCCAAGATTTGTATTTTGTATTATATATATATATATATATGTGTGTGTGTGTGTGTGTGTTATGTGTATGGTTTTATATAATTTATATATATTATGATAAAATAGCATACCCTAAAACATAATATCTCAACCCTTTTTTTAATTTTTCAAATTCATTTTCATAAAATTTATCTAATCATAACTCATCATAATGTGAAAAATTATTCTACAATGTTAATGGTAATTTCATTATAATATTGATATTAAAAGCTACTATAATTATCAATTTAATTTATAAGCTATTTGTTACATAATTAATTTAATTTTTATCTATCGTGAAATTTTTTTTTAAAAAAAAAATTATAGTTTGAAAACTCGTGAAACCCTACATCTTTTTTTTTTAAATTATTAGAATAATTCAATTTGAAAAGAGGGAAAAAAAAATCATTCCCTTTTTGTTAAGAGTTTTGGAATAATTAGAAAAAAGAGAGAAACTTTATCTAACAAGAAACTATAATTTAGTGCATTATACTTTACTTAAAATTTATGAATTTAAATTTTAGTGAAAACGTAAAATTTATAACTTTGTAAATATATTACGAAACACGATTCGTTAATCAATTGCATAGATCGAGAAAATAGCGATAGCAGCTGCATCAGCAATCCACAAATACGTACTTAAACGAAATCTAACTTCTCACTCACGACCCATGTAATAAATTACATCAAGTAAGAAGAATAGAATAATTAAGCCGGCATATAATAATTTAATAGAATAAAAAATTAAAATTACTAGTATGTTAATAAGAATATTATTATTAAGTTAGATTAATTTTTTAACGAGATTATTACATTTATAATAATATATTGTTGTATGATTGTTTCGTTAAGATAATTACAATAAATTAAAAATTCGGCCAATATTTTATTTTCGAACAAAAAAAGCTAAACGCAGTTTAGGATGAACATACGGGTGCTTTATTCATTGAGTCAAGTAATCTGACTCGGACAACTCATACCCATGACTCAATCCCCGCAAACACAACATTAACAACAACACACAACGTCTAATTTAAGGCAATAACAGAAACAAACAGCCAACCGACCGAGTTGACTCATTGCACCCCACACAATATTGCATAGCTCGTAACTCAAACACTCATCATATATATATATATATATATATATATATGTATACAAGACGTCACTTGTTCCAATCCAGGTAAGACAGACAATCATGGTTGAATCAGGTATAGTTTAGGACCCACTTCCTCCTCATCATTTGCAGAACCTTCGGAGAATTTTCCTGCAAAAATAGATTAATGAATTATTATTAATTAATTATCAACACGTGTTCACTAATAAGTGGTTTATTAATGCAAAAAAAAACTAATTAACTTAAAATTAGGATGATTAATTATAAGTTTATTAATTAGATATCTTAATTAGTTTCTGATATATATATATATATATATATATATATATATATATATATATGATCACATATTAATAAAGTAGTTCTGGAAAGGTGTCTTTGGCGACCTCCTCAGCTTTTTCTTCAATTTTATCTTCTCCGTCTTCCGCAGCATCCACTGACGAGTTCACAGCATCTACCTCCTGCACTTGCCATACAATGACTTACATAAACATATTTACATATGTATATATATATGCTAAGATCTATGTATAAGATATACGTATGCAAATACATGTTATGACATAACCATGCGTGAAATATTGCCAACAAACTTTGCAGGATATGCATGGTTGATACCGATGAAAGCTTTAAATATTATGTATATCTGCATGTGTATATATATATATATATATATGGTTGTTGATATGGGTATACCGCGGTGACTTCATGGGTAAATTCCTTAATAGCTGTGACAGCCATTTCTGAAGCTTTCATGAGATTGTCGATAAGTTTCATCACCTCAACACTCTTGGAGTACAAATTCCCAATCCCACGAGCAATTGCTGCGGCCAAATCCCATATAACATATACATACATATATTACGTGAAATAAATAATTACAGAAATAAATTTATTGTGGTCATATGTGTATATATATATATATCTATATATATGTACCAAAACTCTCTTCAAGATGCACTGATATTGAATTCAGCTTGGTTATATTCTCCTCAGCAAGACATAAGTCCACAGCTTTTCTTGCATTCACTAGTTCTTTCTCAACTAGTGCCTGAAATTGCAATATATAT